CAACTCCGGCAGTGAAATACCCGGATCAAGATATGCTAACGACGTATGATGAAAAAATGAAGGGTTAGGACTGTATTCAGGGAAGGCAACAAACTTAGCGTGTCTACGAAAAAAGTTTAGAGCGGGAAATTCGGAGTTCGTTTCAATAGTTCCACCAATGAGATCAATATCCCTATAGTCGTTACACAACAACAGGATTCTGTGCAAAGCTACCCGCCAATTGAAGCTGAGAAAATCGTTCAAAAGACCATGTACACCATGAAGAACCACTGCAATACCTACACTATTTTGATCATCACCTAATATATCAAGACAGACATCAGGTTGATCCCGTAAAACAATTCCATCTTGTCGGCTCAACCACTCCCGTTCAGCATTACTTATACAAGGCTCCTGAAAAGCTTATTAAGACTAACGTGATGAAACTTCAGAAAAAGGGGGGGGGGCGGCAACATGATTCAGAACGATTCACTGGAAAATCATCTTTTTATACGAATCAAACGCACGGCATATTCTTCGTGTAAGAGTAAGTTGATGAGTCCCAGCTTCCCATGGGGCATCAAAATGGCCATTTCCAATTAAGTACACACACGAAATGCGTCGGTCACCAAGGAACCGGCGGATCTTGTTAATGATCCCAAGAGCTGCAATAGAAGATTGAGGTTTTAAATTGTTCCGATTACCGCAGATTCCCCAAGAAATGCTGAGTTATGCGGCGAAACTTAGTGCCTGGGGATCGAGCCCGTACCATAAGCTTCCTGGGCTGTCGTGGTAACACCATCGATGTAATCTGTAGCTGAACAGCCCGTAAAGCCAGAAGAGCGGATCCTGGGGCAAAAGTTTCGCCCATATTTCAAATAATGGAAATAAAGGTGTTGGTTGTCATCCACAACGTTCTACCTAATCTCGGACATTACAATACCAATACAATACTTATCAAATCGAAGTGAAACTGAAATGTTACAACCATTCTCCTGGAAAGCAAAAACGCATTGTACAATTTACATAACGAAAAAATACAGCAAAAGATGGCAAACCTGAGACCACTATCTTCAACTTGAATGCGTTTTCTCCATTGCGCCTGAATGTCGTCTACGGTGCCTTCTATCCTGCTAACTGATGCAAGGGCAGTTTTCTTCAATCGCGCATGCCGCCTTTTGCGTCTAACTAATTCAAACCCGTCATCTTCCATCTAAAAAACCTTCAAAAGAAGGGAATTATGACAAAAGAAAAACAATTTGCTAAACACTGCGTAAAATGACCGTGGATTGACCAAAAATTCATGAACACGGCATATAAATAAAACTCTTCAACAAAATACGGAACATGAAAGAATGACAATTTAAATTAGCGGATAATGTTGTTACCTTAATCAGATGAGAAACTCTTCTGCACACGACTAATCGCAATTTCACCGGTGAGAAAATGTTTTAATTTCATACTCCTAGTTTTTTCTATGGCAGCTATGGGCATCCAGCAGAACATCATCGATTATCAATCAGCACATGAGTAGTTTTAGGTCTCCTTTTTGTTTCTACATAAAGAAATCGCCACTGCGCCATTCACCATCGCGTTGCTCCATCTCCGCTTGAGCAATACCCTCGTCGCGTTCGCCCTACACAACGGCTAATAAGCTATGAATACAAACGAAATAGATAGTTCTAACCAATGACGTACCTTCACATGAAAAGTAGCGGATTACGTTGATTTCGTATTTTTTCGTATTTGTGATGGAGCGGGATGGTGCGGCATATGCCCCGCAACCCGAGTGCCCGCAATGTCCCGGCGGGGCGTGTCAGAAGGATCTGCCTGTGCACGCCGATAGCCGTTGTGAGTGCACCTCCGCCTGACGGACCAGCGGCGGTACTTGGCCCGGAACGGCCACGAATAACCTGATCCGGCTCCATGTGGTGGGTGAGAATATGCATGCATGCCGTAGTGGTGCTGACATGACGTCGACGACCGCGTGAAGTCTCTTCTCCAAAACCAGCTATGGTAGGTCCGAAAAGGTCGTGGCACCGGCCATCTTCTCTCACCAAGGAGAGTGCACTGAAGAAATACGGCAAATATTCGCTATACTGCGAACACTTAGATGGCATGTTCAGCTTACCTGCTGTATATCTTTTGAGGACTATCTTCTGCGAAAAATTCACCAGCCAAGAGGTAGACAAACACGCCTAACATGCCAATCGCGGCCGCAACTGCAGTATATAAAAAGGTATTGGACGCCTTCTCTGCAACCTGCAAATTAGGGCTAGCTAATAAGAGAACATGATAGCGCAAACTATTATTTGACCAAATCAAAGAAGGCATTTGGATAATTTTTGAAGAATCCGGTCTGCTTCGGGCAAAAAGACTGTGTTATACGGTTTTGCATTCTACTTCATCGCGCAAAAACACTGGCTGAGACGCGCTAGTCTTCAATGCGGTGATAAAGCTGCTCTCACAAAAAAGGAGAGTTTGATAGAGAAAACAATAGCATAACCAACCTAGCCATTCCCAGCTCCAACCACGTAACTGGGAATCCTATTCAAATTACAGAAAGGGTGGAAGTTGAAAAGGCCAAAAGCAAAGAACACTATGAAAGGTGGACTTATGTGTAGTACACCAAGCAGCAACGCATACGTATGGTACAGGGATCAAACCGTGGATCGATTCCACTAGACAAGGCGTTTACCTTCCCTCTCCCCCTTAAGTAAGTTCTATCAACTCCAAATTCATAGGAAGATAAAACACGACTTTGGTCTGCGTCCCTCACGGAGACATCTGCGCGAAATATTTATATAACAGAAGGATACTAATTTGATTCTTAAAAAAATTTCGGATGTAGAGAGACTCGCGCTGAGAGTTTCATCACTTGTCTTCTAAACACAACCACTTATAAACATCACTTAATCGTGGAATACCTTTTAAAACATGCCTTTCCAGTGAATGTTGTAGGTTTTTGTTTCTCCTTTATTAGCACTTCTTCAAGAACTGATCGTTGTAGACCCGTCTGTTCTTTATTCTGGGGAGTGATACTGCCCCGTTTCTCCGCAAAATTTCTAGCACCACATAACCACCTGTAAACATAACCTTAGTTCCAGAATTCTGTAGAAGGAATAGGAAAAAAAGTACGAAATTCTTCCAAAACTCGAAAAAGTGGGACGGTGCGAGTTACCTGTGATCAAGGGGCTGTCTAAGCAGAACCCTTGGAGAGTAAGCGACCCATGGAACTTTAAGTCGGCGAGTCACCGTGGTGTTGCCCAAGCGTAGAAATAAAGCTGAACTCATATTTGGAGCATCTGACACAAGCCAGCAGCTGTAATATACAGCTGTAAAAAAATAACTGATTTGAAAACAAAACAGATGAAGTTATCCACAACAGTGACATAGAAAACATTCCTGCTCTGTAACCAAAGTAAAAAGTAAAAAGGGATGGCACCGGAAAACAAAGCATACAATATCTAATCAAAGTGAAACTGAAATGTTACACCCATTCTCCTGGAAAGCAAAAACGCATTGTACAATTTACATAAAGAAAAAATACAGCAAAAGATGGCAAACCTGAGACCACTATCTTCAACTTGTGAATTGGTTTTCTCCATTGCCGCCTGAATGTCGTCTACGGTGCCTTCTATCCTGCTAACTGATGCAAGAGCAGTTTTCTTCAATCGCGCATGCCGCCTTTTGCGTCTAACTAATTCAAACCCGTCATCTTCCATCTAAAAAACCTTCAAAAGAAGGGAATTATGACAAAAGAAAAACAAATTGCTAAACACTGCGTAAAATGACCGTGGATTGACCAAAAATAATCATGAACACGGAATATAAGTAAAACTCTTCAACAAAATACGGAACATGAAAGAATGACAATTTAAATTAGCGGATAATGTTGTTACCTTAATCCAGATGAGAAACTCTTCTGCACACGACTAATCGCAATTTCACCGGTGAGAAAATGTTTTAATTTCATACTCCTAGTTTTTTCTATGGCAGCTATGGGCATCCAGCAGAACATCATCGATTATCAATCAGCACATGAGTAGTTTTAGGCCTCCTTTTTGTTTCTACATAAAGAAATCGCCACTGCCATTCACCATCGCGTTGCTCCATCTCCGCTTGAGCAATACCCTCATCGCGTTCGCCCTACACAACGGCTAATAAGCTATGAATACAAACGAAATAGATAGTTCTAACACAATGACGTACCTTCACATGAAAAAGTACGCGGAATTCGTTGCCGTCCGTCTTTTTCGTATTTGTGATGAGCAACATGACGTCGACGACCGCGTGAAGTCTCTTCTCCAAAACCAGCTATGGTAGGTCCGAAAAGATCGTGGCACCGGCCATCTTCTCTCACCAAGGAGAGTGCACTGAAGAAGTTTGGCAAATATTCACGGCATGGGTCGGGGGGGGGAGCAGTCGCCGCGCGGGCGCGTGCGGCAACAGGAAATTCGTGAGCCAGGGGGAATGTAGCCAATTCAGGGGGGTTGGGGGTGAGGGCAGTCACTTGACATGCGTGAGAAGCTGGAATCGAGTTTACACTACTTCGCTAAGCCGCGCGGTGACTGCCCCCCCCCCCCCGAGCCATATTCACTATACTGCGAAAACTTATATGGCACGTTCAGCTTACCTGCTGTATATCTTTTGAGGACTATCTTCTGCGAAAAATTCACCAGCCAAGAGGTAGACAAACACGCCTAACATGCCAATCGCGGCCGCAACTGCAGTATATAAAAAGGTATTGGACGCCTTCTCTGCAACCTGCAAATTAGGGCTAGCTAATAAGAGAAACATGATAGCGCAAACTATTATTTGACCAAATCAAAGAAGGCATTTGGATAATTTTTTGGAGAATCCGGTCTGCTTCGGGCAAAAAGACTGTGTTATACGGCTTGCATTTACGATAATTCCCAGGAAAAACACTGGCTGAGACGCGCTAGTCTTCAATGCGGTAATAAAGCTGCTCTCACAGAAAAAAGGAGAGTTTGATAGAGAAAACAATAGCATAACCAACCTAGCCATTCCCAGCTCCAACCACGTAACTGGGAATCCTATTCAAATTACAGAAAGGGTGGAAGTTGAAAAGGCCAAAAGCAAAGAACACTATGAAAGGTGCGTTGCTGCTTGGTACTTATGTGTAAGTACCAAGCAGCAACGCATACGTATGGTACAGGGATCAAACCGTGGATCGATTCCGCTGGTGATTACCCCCCCCTCCCCTCCCTCCCCTTAAGTAAGTTTATTAACTCCAAATTCGATTTGGAAGATAAATACTCCGACTTTTCGTCTGGCCCCTCATGAGGTACTCTCGCGAAATAATCTGATATAACAGAAGGGTACTAATTTGATTCTTAAAAAAAATTCGGATGTAGAGAGAGACTCGCGCTGAGAGTTTCATCACTTGTCTTCTAAACACAACCACTTATAAACATCACTTAATCGTGGAATACCTTTTAAAACATGCCTTTCCAGTGAATGTTGTAGGTTTTTGTTTCTCCTTTATTAGCACTTCTTCAAGAACTGATCGTTGTAGACCCGTCTGTTCTTTATTTTGTGGAGCGATAGTGCCCCGTTTCTCCGCAAAATTTCTGGTACCACATAACCACCTGTAAACATAACCTTATGGTTAGTTCCAGACTTCTGTAAAAGGAATAAGAAAAAAGCTACGAAATTCTTCAAAAACTCGAAAAAGTGAACGGTGCGAGTTACCTGTGATCAAGGGGCTGTCTAAGCAGAACCCTTGGAGAGTAAGCGACCCATGGAACTTTAAGTCGGCGAGTCACCGTGGTGTTGCCCAAGCGTAGAAATAAAGCTGAACTCATATTTGGAGCATCTGACACGAGCCAGCAGCTGTAAAGAAATAATTGATTTGAAAATAAAATAGATGAACTTCTTCACGACAGTGACATAGAAAACATACCCCCTTTGTAAATAAAGTAAAAAGTAAAAGAGGATGGCACTGGAAAACAAAGCAATCATGTATCTTGTTCAACACCTCTGTTCGGATTCACAAGAGCAGTTCCGAGTAAGGAAGAAGTTGGAAGGCGGTGGGCAGGAAGAAGAAGGAGGTAAAAGATAATTGACACTACGATAGTACGCATCGCTCAATTTAGTATCGTGCATCTAAGGCAGGTGTCGTCGGACTTTACGACCAATCGCTAGCGAATAGCGCGATTTGTCAGTGATTAGATGCGAAGTCTGACAGCCCTCTAGTGCGTGTCCTACCGCACGAAATATGGCTGCATTGCCGTATAATCGATGTACATTAACCCTTGACATGGATTCTACCATTAGCTTGTTCTCCTAAAATGCTAAGTATAGACGCGGCCCTGACACAGACTTTTTTATTAGAAGAAGTGTTTGTTAATCGCTTTTTCTTCACAGATTTACAAATCATGAGGAACGTCTCTAAGCCTGAGATCTGGGCTCCTTCCTGTCCGATGATTTCCGCTGACACTCATCGGTGCTGCCCTCTTTAACCCTAATGCTCTCTCTGCTAAACGACTAGAGCTCAGGCGATGTAGGGTGGGCGTACCGCGGCACCAGTATAACCGTGCAGGGATGCTGGGGTAGGGTGTGGTTCACTAGGACAGAAAGCGACTTTTTCGCGTTTCGCAGCGCGAAACATTTTCGCTGCGGGAACCTCAGGTCCACCGCTGATCATCAGTGGACCTGAGGTTCCCGCAGCGAAAATGTTTCGCGCTGCGAAACGCGAAAAAGTCGCTTTCTGTCCTAGTGAACCACACCCCTGGGGCACTTTGCCGTGAGACGCGCTTCGCCCTGCACCCTTTGAAGGCCCGCCTGCTTTTTGATCAAATATATTTCCTCTTCTTGGACCTTCGACCTTGTCGCGGATCCTTTCACTTCCTTTATCACACCGCTCAAGTTATCGTAGACACACAAACAGATCAAAGAGGCAACGAGGATCAGCACGTAAGCGACTCACTATTGCATCGTTTTTGTAATGGCGGAATAAGAAATCGACTTCACCTCTGATACGACCACTTCAAATATAGTGGTTATCGAGACCGCATCCGAAACAGAACATAAAATCAAATTTCAGTTAACATTTATTTTGTGTTCGAGGGTCCAATTAATTACTCTAATACATTTTAACCGTACATACAGTGAATAATAACAATCTAGAATGTATATTAATCGGAAAGCAACACCAAAAAATGCGCCTCGGAAAGTCAGACACTTAAAATTGACCAAGAGCAACATCACATTTGCATGCACGTAATGGAACCATACCTCAAGTTCATTATCAGCTATATTTCCTATATTGCAGGAAAATTTGTCTCACACAATTAGGTAGTGTCTATGCGAATTTATGCACGTAAACCCGCCGAAAAAGAACGAAAAGGAAAAAGCGAAATTGTACATAGATCGTATCATCTGCATTATTTACAAATCACCAGGATGATGCCTTAGTAAATGAACATTGAGTACCTAAGTCTCGAATATAAGACAGAAATGTATTTTATGCGAAACCAAAGCCTTCAGTGCATTCGCGAATTGCTATCAACAAGGAGTCACGCAATTTCTCATATGACTCGTATTGAGGAAGATCGAGCTGATTGAAACTGAAGAAAAACATTAGTTCCATCTGAAAATAGAATAAAGAAACTTTAAAAGGTTATACCATGTGTGAGCAGCAGGCAGGCGATCACCACCACGGCAATCCATATGAATACTGAATTTCTGGATGCCATTCATTCCTTCTAGACTCGCAAACCCTTGTAACGGAACCTGCAGGGTGAAATCGTTTAGAAAAAGAAAAATAGCGAAACAGAGTAAAGATGACTTGTACGCTTACCTTGCTGGTACCTGTCACAAATTGCAAGAACTTTGCACGATCCTCTGGCTCAAATGACCTGAGCGCGCGCCAGAACCATTGAATCTTAAAGATCAATGGATATGAAAAAAGAATAACCGCGGCACTAAACCGTGAAAACCTTCCATACCTGTGCACTAGTTTTTGTATACATTTTGTATTCAGTATTGTTTGCTAAGTCATCAATATCCACATCGGGAAGGCCACTAATGAGCAACTCCAACTCTTGTTCATTGAACATGCTGATCAACTGCTTAGGAATAACTTCATAGAAGCCGGTGAGGAATGCGTCGAGCTGTTTGCGAATAGAACCTGAAATAGCTAGTCTTTAAATTAGTGACGACTAAGAGAAAAGGAAGAAAGACCTCACCAGTCATTTTCATCTGACACACAAGCTTGACGTATTCCTCCTTGTTTGCATCCGTCACATCAATTTTCCTTCCATCTGGTTTCAAATCACGGATTGAGCGAACACCAAACTCCTCCACCTAAGAATAGATATAAAAATGTATATGAATTAATAGGTACTAAAAATTGGAAGTGAACAATTAATACCTCGAGACTGAAGCTTAAATCCAGTCCCAGATCATCGATAGGATTGTTGAGCAAGAACTCTAGTGACTTGATAGAAAGCAGGATCCTGGAAATGTGGAATTTTACAGCTATTGAGCCAGACTTTCCCGGGAAGCATTAACATACCTCGCTTTCGATGTCCTGGTATCTGACCGGTAGATTTAGAATGTGTTTGTAGAAGGCACGTGTGAAATAGCAGTCCAATAGTTTGTTATCATAAATAGCTTTGGCTATCAATCGTCCCACAAACTGAAAATAATACAAATTTTTAAGAAAAAGAAAATACGTGAAAAGTAAACACCGAAATTTATGGGGGTTCATCGCTTCACGAATGACCTTCATCAGAACGATAGAAGTGTGAGTAATACGGCAAAGAATTTTTGTAGCCCAAAGCTTCCAGGGCTAGTCCATTTCGTACCTTGAAATAATCGAGATGTTCAGGATTGATGTAGGACGCCTTGTTGATCATATACGTAACCATGTCGCCTGGTGCCGTGATGAAGAGTGCATAGTTCGGGTTGAATATCTCTCTTGTAATTACCAGAGAACCATTCACGAAGCAGACCTCCCGCATCTTGACCTTCTTCACCTACAACATAGAATTGATGAATTCACATTCATAAAACATCCAATGACAGCCAACCAGCAAACAATGCGCACCTTGGAAGATTATGTAGAAGCGGTGTTTCCACTCATTCGGTCGTAGTCTGTACAATTCTCGGAAGGAGTCCGAGAATATTTGCGATCGCTGACTTGAACTTGCACATCAGCTCGACGGAAGCTTAAACACCAAACAAAATTTAGTTCAAACTATTATACAAGTATTATATAAAAGAATCAAAAAGTGAATTTTTCCCTCTATCTCCATCAGTTTTTCCCAAGCCCTTTCTGGGGAAAGTACTTCGGTTGACGTCAAAGTCCAAAAGCTTTGGGAACTGGATGAGAGCGGCGAATGGACCGCCTGGCGACAATGCGGTATTGTTCTGTCGCAATACTTGGTTCAAAACTTCTCGATGCTTTTCTGAAAACACCACAGAATGAAACTAATACGAGCAGCTTGCTCATTTCATTAGATTAATAGCTGTAACCAAACAGTACCTGCGAACGCAATCATTTTCAAAGTATCGGGATCGTCATGATGGTGATCACTTGCAGCGTGCGCAGGGCGTGGTACAGCATGAACCAGGAAGAAAGCTTCTGCTGCAGGTTGAAGTGCGAGCACAGCATGATGATCCGATGCCTTTTCCAAGACGAAGTAAGGCATGCTGACACGACTTCCCAAAGCTCTTAAAGCAAATGCGCTTGAACTTTTGTGAGGAGAAAGCCCAGAGAACATCTCATTTTGAAACATACCTTCAAGACCTGTCAAGCGATGACTCAACACAACATCTTCGTTGGTTTCCTCAGCTGATTGCTTGGATTGGTCCTCGTCAACAGCACTCGTGGAAGTGGCCATAGGAGTTGATTCTTCTTGTACGGCAGCTGATTGGGACGTTTCCGGTGTTGGTGCTGTCGCATCGTCAACAGCAACAGGATCAATCGTTTTGTTCTCAGCACTTTGCTTAGCTTCCGCGGCTTTAGCCTCTTCCTCTTTCTGTAGTAAAGAGTGATATACAGGAATTCAATGGGATCATCATCGATCATTTACCTTTTTCTTTTCGAGTTCCTCCTTTTTGCGGCGTTCCTCCTTCATCTGACGCATAGTGTCGCGTATTTTCGAAAGAGTTTGCAGGGCACTCAACAGCTTATACTGAGCACCTGACTTGTCTGTTAACATGGTGACTGCTGGGAGTTGAAGTTCGGGGCATGAGCTCGCGCTCAGTGTCTATAAATTACCCCATTTACCCAAAAAGCATTGAATGTTACAAAGGAGAAGTAACGTACAAATCGACCGCCATTTTCTGCATCAAGCACCAAACGCCCAATTCTGGTACGAGCCAGCCGCCTGTCACGGTCAGTGCCTACACCAGTCGCTGTGGAATCTGATTCAACTGTTGCAGATGCAGCCTTACTAGTGGAAGGAAGGTCATCCGTTGATGTGGTCGTGTCTGGTTCACCCAGCTCCTCTATTAGCCGTTCAATCTGGAATGGAATCTCAAAAAGTGAACTAGAGAGGACCTTTAAAAACGAGACGCTGAGCTCAGAAAAAACCTGTGGTTGTAGTTCTAGTCCAACATTTTGCACGGCTGTGAACAGCTGTTCATAGATAGTATCCGTTATAGAGGGAGGGAGAGCACGCATGCACTCGACAAGCAGTGTTCTGAGAGATAAATGGCTTCAATATTAACAACACGGCGACATGTGGCTACATAAAAGAAGGAGAAACCATGAATAATTTAAAACAACAAACCGTCCGTCAGCAAGGCCTTCATTACTACATGATCCACGCATGAGAACATCGATCACAGCTTTCAGTTGACTTTCTAGCGGATTCGGACCTTCCAGATTTCCCAGCAACGCCATAGTGTCATTAGGTAAAGTTTGCACTATCTGCAGAAATGCTCCTCTTACAACAATTCATAGAGCAACTTATTAAAACCAACTGTTGCACTAGTCTTACCGTACTAATTACACGCAGTAAACGATCCTGAACTTGTCCATTTTTGAGCAACCAGATTTTTGCTGAGATGTCGCATGAGGCGACCCATGTAGGAACTTTCCAGAGACATACGTTCGCCACTTTCACGTGCTTCTTTAGCAGCGAGAGACTTGCAAGATGATGCCTGAGAAGGCGGAGAAGTTAAATATCACCAGGAACAAATTTTTGGTGAATGCATCACGATACCTGCACAGTTCCCAGAACAGGTCGAGAGGTGGACTCGCATCACGTACAGGCGCCGATTGGCTTTCTGACGTTCCATCTTTAGCCTGTGCCTGCTGCGAAGTTTTTCGGAGACTGGAGGGAAGGAAGTGTCCGGGGTAAGTCTTCGCAATGGTGCCAAGACTGTCGAGCACGTTCTTTGAAAGTCCAGCAGACAGCAAAGGATGAATAGCCACTAAAATATCAAGCATTGTTGCATATATACTATCAAGACGACGGAACCGTATAGGGGAAAAGAACCTCTGGACACGTTCTTGGCTATCTTCAGCGCACGTTCATTATGACCTACACCCGAGACCGTGATAGAATCAAGCCATGATGGACAAACGGACACCAGCTGGAAATGAAACACTTGAGCGTGTTTTTTTGAGAGACAGAAGAAAGAAAATATGCTGCATGACTCACCTCTTCATGATCAGGAGCAGAATCGTGTGCCTTTCAAGCAGGGCCAAAAGACACCATATGACAAAATCGCACGTGTTAGCATGTGAGCATGCAAGTCGAAATTTACCTAAAAGGGCCACGCTATGATTTACACTCAACAGACACTAAAAGTTTCCATATATAAATTCTCCCCCAAAATTTGATAGACCCTGAGCTTTGAAAATCCACCAGAGAGGACAGCGATCATGAACCTCATCCGCACTCAAACACTTACTTAATTCTATTCTTAAAAGAAAAATTAATGCGGCCACGTTATAAACCAAGAAATTAGGCACGAAAAAGTATAATCAGCTTTTTTCAAAATTGTCACCTCAACTCACTAGCATTTCACGGCCTACCTGAAGCGTTATAATAACAACTCCTTACACTAGATAAAATTTGATATTGCTGCCAAAATTGACGCAGCCTTACCTTCTGCAAACGACCATTACTCAGTCTACTATCGACCAAGAACAACATCGTGAGGATCAGTATTGAGTCTCGATCAAGAAGTTGAAGTGATTGAGCACTGGCGGTGTTCGCTTGCCCGGCCAGGCTACCAACGGAAGGAGTGCCGCTGCTACCGGCACCATGGCTTCCACTAGCACCCATTCCACTAAATCCTCCTCCAAATCCAGCCAAATTCACGTTCGAACGGAAGTCCACGTGATCGAGCAGAAGAAGGCATCAACAAATGGCGGAATCGAAGAATGTTCTGCAACTAAATGAATTCTATCGTTTTTAAGTAAATTTGCTGCGACCACACAAAGGCATCCAGAAAGTTTCCTCCTTTGAGTTTATGCTTGAGCCATACTGAAGGAAACTCATTGGATGACCCAACAACAAACAATGAAATTAAAGCGATCCCACTGGTTCTAAATTAGCGCGGGCTCTTCGTGCTTCGTCCTGCATCTCGGTCGGAAGACGTTGCAGTTCCGATTCATCCATCTCGGCTAGCACCTGTAGGAATAACTCGTAATCGTCTCAAACTGTCTTACAACATTTCAGGAGCCGGAAGAATAGAAAATACACACCTGCGTTCTTTCATGTGCAGGAAGAGATGCGATAACAGCCTGCACCATCCATTTCTGGTTCCGGAGCTGCAGGAGGAGCTGGTGCGTTCGCTCTTCGGAGCGCCTCCTCAGCTTCACGAACTGCACGTTCGTGTTGCGCCAAAATCTCCTGAATTAAAATAGTGAAATTTAAAATAGTGCTTTGTTGCAGTTGTTTCAGCAAACCTACTTCTTGCAGTTCAGGAGGTAACGCAGCAAGGAACTCCTGATCTAGAGGCTCCACAACTGGAACAGCGTTTGAGGCACCTTCACCAGCGCCCTCTCCCTGTAAAAATACAGAATGTTTTGATATGTAGCAAATTCTGTGAGATGGACTGATTACCTTGGAAATTCTACAGCCCTCCAAGCATCTAAAACCGATCATAAGAACAAAAGTAACGGCGGCGGTGGAACAGTTGCGGGGACTTGAGCAGCACGTTGTGCTCGTTGCTGTCGGCGATGATCACGAATCACTTCTGCGCGCATATCTTCCGGTAGTAGCGCCGCAAGGAATGTGCGGTCGGACACCATCAGGTATCTCACTTATCTCAGACAACACAAGCAATTACACGGCATTAGCAACTAAAAATGCAAGTAAAAATGAGTAGGGAGCATCAACACCGAGAATTTCACGGATTTCATCAGGAATAGCGTTATTTTCAGCAGCAGTTCTAGCTGTGCTGCCATTCGCCAACGGTTCGTCAGTTGTGGTTTCTGTATGACCAGAGTTGTCAGATCTGCAACATTCGCTTTCAGGATCACGAAAGAATATTTCAGAAACAAGCATTTGTAGTAACGACAAACCTGTCGCTTGCATCTCGTACATCATCTCCTTCATGCGGTACATTCGAGACAACAGGAAGAGGGGGAGTTATCATCCGTTCTTCATCAACTTCTGCTTCTGGCAGTGAAGAAGCGACAGTCGCTGCACGGAGCTGGACGTGGAGGTGCTTCGTACCATAGACACGTCATGTTCAATATCACGAGGCTCAACGTTCTGAAAGAGGACGAAGGCGACATCTTAGTGGTCGCTATCCATCATAGAAATATAGGATTTGAGCACAAAAAGGACCTTAGAGCTCGGAAAAAAAGGAAACACAATTCAACATAGTCTGATTATAATTTTGGCTCACAAAATGCATGTTTCTACATAAAAGGTACAATACCTGACGTGTCCATGGCTTCTCCTTCGACTACCGGTAAGCCAGACGCATCTCCATTGGTCACGCTGTCTCCAGCACTCAGTGCTGTAGCGACGTCTGTTTCTCGATTGCCCAAAGCAGATTCATCCCAAGCTTGACGCGCAACTTCAGTAGGCGGATGGGCCAACACGGTGGCCGTTGCTCCCGAAGTGCCCGTTTCATCACTAGCTTTTGGTGCACTTTCTGATGTTCCCTTGCTGCTCTCCTCAAGTAGTTTTTTCGCTGCTTGCTCTGCAGCCTCTTTGGCCTTCTCCTAAACGATGAAGCAAAATAGCGACAGAAATACGTGAAACGTATTGATATGCGATACTCAAAAATACCTCTTCCACACGTTTTCTTGCCACTCTAGTCACTATACTATTTATAATGATGGCGACGTATTGCATGGACACGCCGTCCATCATGTCAGCACCATCAGTATATCGATCTAGAGCAGAAGGAGCGGATGCGGGCTGCCGCATTCGCCTTTCTTCAGGGCTGTCGAGCAAGTTTGACCCCTATAAACATCGAAGTGAGTGTCTTTAGATAAGATTAGTCAAGGATGAAGACAGTCACGGTTAAAAAGAAGAACGTCCAACTCACCATGCTTACAATTCGCCCTGCCGTCATGTTCATCAATGGACCACCACGATCTCTTGCATGCAAATCGAATAGTCTGTCAAAGAATTGACTAGTTGGACCAACACGGGCACGGTCTGCAGCGCCAATACGACGAATAGCATTTTGCCGAGTCAGGGTTACTGGTATACCAGCGCTTCCACTGTCCAATAGAAGACTTCGATAGTTGCCGAGCTAAAATTAGTATTCGTGCATTCAGAAAAGTAAAAAACTTCAGTGTTAGGTGCAGAGAAAGAACACTCAATGTTATTAATCAGAAGACATAGCATCAGCGAGGTGGAACTTCCGCTTTTAGAGCTCTTTTCGATCTACATGCACCCGAGACAAAAGTAAAAAGCTGATCTGACAAATTTCCAACCCCATAAAAGCCATGGCTGAAACGACAGAAGAAAATTAAATTCACCCTGGCAATGCGTTCTAGCCGACTGACCGTGGGCGCAGACTGTTGGTTGTGTGATGGCTGCGAATCAGCGATGTGAGCTGGCCTTACCATCAACGGATGTACGCCAGCGCTTGATTGCTCTCGACGTGCCCCACGATGCTCTCTGAATAAAAACCCATTGAAAAAGAAAAGTTAATACATATTATAGAAGGGCAAAATACACAAACCTGTTGATTCCAATAGGAGGTCCAAAAATGAAATCGTCAAATCCAAAGGAGGACAATCCTGGCCGATCAAGCAAATCGAAAGTCATGTCATGCAACTGCAAAAAAGGATATATGCTTGGAATGAAACAATTTCAGAACGCGATTAGAGATACCCACCGCATCCTCATCTTCTTCGGGATAGTCATACATTTCCTCATCATCGTCCTCTTCCTCTTCTTCGCCGTCCTCACCACTTTCTTCTGCGTCGACCCTGACAGTCGCTTGCACATCCCCTTCTCTTCGACCATCTTCGTCATCTTCCTCTTCCTCATCGTCCTGATCTTCACCGTCCATAGTGTCATCTTCTTCACGGTCATCACCCTCCTCGTCTTCTACAGTTCTATCTTCATTGTCTTCCTCACCAGATGACATCGAATCCTCAACCTGAATTCAACCAACGGCATTTCACACGAATACAATCTTTGAAAATGACCACTAGCGATTACGATGGACTATGGCACGCTAGAAATCCCACCGCTTCTTCGTCCATTTCCTCATCCATTACCTCACCACGATGGTGGTCGTTTTCTTGAGGCTGATCATTATCGCTGAGATACACATTGTCGCTGACACGAACGAGCATCTGTGAAAAATGCTGTCATGGATTTTTGGTTTGTGTTGCCAGCAACCTTGCTCTAGCGATAGCAGATAGAAGCTTTTGAAAAAATGACAAAAAAAGCAAATATGCAATGTAAGGAGCAAGAAAGTTACAGTTAAAGTCAGTTTCAAATAGAATGCAAGACCCCTTGTTTCCAGAAGGTTACTTCGTTATTCTTGTATAAATTCCGTTCCCCTACTCGGAAACAAATACTAACCGGGTCACTTCGATCGTCTTGCTCATTGCTGAGTTCACGTGCATCGTTGAGCAAATTGTTGGCGAGTAGGCCCAAGTCAATGGCATGACTGAGGGCGGCGTCCCTACTATTACTCGGCGATGGGATCCTTACAGCGTCAGCAACGGCAGCATTGATCACAGCCTGGAAGCAGTACCATTGATGGATGCCAACTTACACTGGGTAAATGAACTATTCATTTGAGTGACTAAGATATTACTCGTCAACACACATTTGATCACCCTCTATGAAACGGTCTTCCAATTAAGTAAGGTCATCAGGACCGTGCAGTGGTCAAAGAAGCACGGCTTTGACGAAAGCTTATACCCCAGCTTGACACGTTAACGACCGAAGTGTGACATGACTTGATTGCACCTTGGAACAAACTAGTTTTCATAAGTTCATTTGGCGATTTTCGGTTCCAAATAAATGCATTGGATCCGAACAACAATTTCTTCATTACTGATGATGAAAACATTGGAGGATTAATGACTATTGATGAGACAATACAAAAAAAGTCGCCGTAATACATGCACGACGGCGCTCGTCAATAGGTTAAAGACATCCCTCAAAATAAGCTGATACCGTTGAAATGTGAAAGTAGAGGGGGCCAAATGCTGCGTTCGTGGAAAAAAAGAACAGTGAGAAGCTCGACAATCACGACCACCTGTTGCCAGTTGATCCATCGACTGGACGAGTTTGTCGCTAACCCAAAGGCCACTCTGGGGCCGTAAGGTTGCTTCCCCCAATAGGAGAGGGACCCCTCCCTGGTAAGGTATGCTCTCCCCGAAAACTCTCGGGAAAGGCCACGCCCACCAGTTCTCGGGGATATCTCCCCGATTGACATGCAATCGGGGAGATATCCCCGTGATTGACATGCAGTCTGGGAGACATCCCCGAGAACCGGTGGCATTTCTTTCCCCGAGTTTTCGGGGAGAGCATACCTTACCAGGGAGGGGTCCCTCTCCTATTCGAGGAAGCATACCTTACAGCTCCTGGTGTAGTCAAATACTGTCATCGTGCTAACAGCGAACGGTTGGTAGTTATGCTTGGGTGGTCTGTGCAACAGTTACTTTTAAAATAAAATCAAACAATGGCGGTGGCAATTTCGTTTCGAATACATTGCCGTTGTCATTCCTTCAACGGTGGGCGCGTTTGAAACCCGGAGAGAGAGAGA